AGGGAGGGGTCACTGTGGGGTGAAAACCGGCCCAGACCAAGAGTAAAACTACATTATTTCCACCTCAGTGCTGAGACAGCAGACTGAAGTTGAGTTGAACTTTTTCTGAGGTGAGCTGCTCTGTCGTCAATATAAAGCTGCAGGGATGATGTGGTTTTGCAGTCTGACAATAAAGTTAGCAGCTCCCTGGTTCCCTCCACAAGAGACCATTGGGATTCTTTCAGTGGATTTTGATTTATTGCTCAAATTAAGCTCTGTTTCAAACAAACTTTTATGATGCTTACAGCTTATAAAGGAACTATGACTTCACGTCACCACCGCTAAGCTAAAGGCGACTAATGTTGGGCTATAAAGGAACTACAGCACGGTCACATGACTTCCACGTCACCACCGCTAAGCTAAAGGTGGCTAATGTTGGGCTATAAAGGAACTACAGCACGGTCACATGACTTCACGTCACCACCGCTAAGCTAAAGGTGGCTAATGTTGGGCTATAAAGGAACTACAGCACGGTCACATGACTTCACGTCACCACCGCTAAGCTAAAGGTGGCTAATGTTGGGCTATAAAGGAACTACAGCGCGGTCACATGACTTCACGTCACCACCGCTAAGCTAAAGGTGGCTAATGTTGGGCTATAAAGGAACTACAGCACGGTCACATGACTTCACGTCACCACCGGCTGCTAATGTTGGACGTGATGACGTTAAGTCGTCTCATTTAGACACTTGTTAGCAACCTACATGCCCCAATGGGATATTTACTGATGTATTTTATATACAAATTCCTTCAGCTTCTGTTAACCACAGATCTTATTTCAGGCTTCTAACGAAAAAACACTTCCAAAAAACATTGACTTTAAGACGAGTGAATAGGAAGTGCTAAAATACTGAGTAATTTCAGGTTGTTCAGCTCCCTATGTTCTCTATCATATTTCCACATTACTTCCCCCTCCTGAGTAGCTCTCGCTCTACTTGGGCAGCTCCAATCTGTTCTCATAACCACTTCCTTCTGGGCCAAGAAGAGACCATTTCCCCTGTTAGTGCATCATCTTTGAGGTCGTAAGCTCCCCTGCTGCAAATGCATGGCTTTGTTCAAAGATGAAGGGCAACAGGAGAAGGAAACGAGGAATACTGGGGCAAATTGATTGGAAAGCGTGACCTGGCAGACAGCATTGGCAGAAGGGAAAAGGGTGAGTGCTCAGAGGGAGTGAGGGTAAGAGATAGAGGGGAGGAAGGTTGAAGGTGAGGAAGCAGTTCCAGCTTTTTGTCGGAATTGGGCTCACCGTCTTTGGCAACCTGGATCTTGGAGCCTTTGTGTTTCCAGATGATGCTGGGAGGAGGAGAGCTGATCACGTTGCAGACGATGGCCGCGTCATCGCCTTCGTTAAACTCCTGAGGGCTGGGGGCGCTCTCAAAGGTGATCTTTTCTGTAGAGAGGAAAGCATACATCACACACCGTTATAAATACTTAACCTTTCACACGGACACTGGGAACTTTCATTTGCCATTTTGTAGATTGCTTAAAGTATGGTTGACTGTTAAGTGTTAAAGTAATTACAGAAGGCGTTGGAAGGTAGGCAGGTTAAAGACAATTCCTCTAAAAGTAAGGCAACTGACTCGAATGTGCATTAAAACAAAACAAGTAATCCGAAATAGAGCTGCACAATGAATGGACCTTTTATCAAAAGCTGAACATGCACTATGCAATATCCGAACCGCAGGAATAACAACATTTGGAAGATGCAAAATATGGGAAAATATATTAATAAAGTATTTTGGAGCTGAAAGGAAGTCCTGGACTACAAACTGAATTCTACAGGCTTAATAAAAAAAACATTGTTTGGTATAAATCCTCCCAAAAAATATCTAACTTTGATTTTTTTTAAATCTTTTTTGGATAATATTTACAAAATGATGTAGTAGTTCACATTTTACAGCCCTAAATGGATGCTGTATTTCTTTAAGTATTAACCTCACTGACCAAAGCTGTAACATCCTTCCTCTTAATTGTTTAATGCTTTAATGCTCATACAACTTCAGACTCATACATTTTTTAAATTTTTTTATTTATTCTACTAAAATCATACAAAAACAAAAATGTATAATTCATACACAAAAATGAACAAATTAGTAGAAGCGGGAGGGCTGAAGCATAGTTTATGGTGAGTAGCCCTCCCGTGGATCATCATTAGCATCAATATAGTGATGGCATTTATTTCGTCAAAAACGTATAGAAATGAAGGAGTACAAAGAAATAAAGAAAACTAATGACAACTGGAAAAAATTAAACAAAAGTTAGGGCAAGAAAAAAGTAAAGGGCAAGAAAAAAGCGAATGCATATATAAGCAATACTGGGAATATCCAATACCTGTTAGCTGGAGTAATCTGCAAATATAATTGTTTTTACTTTAGTTTTGAATTGTTGATGACTAGTAATACTTGAAAGGTCTGGGTGAAGTCCATTCCACGTTCTAACTCTGATTATGTGCTTTGTGTGATTTGATGGTTGTTCTACAGGGCTTGCTACACAACCAGTTAGGATGCCTCGTTGGGTATTTCCTGACTGTGGTTTGGAACTGCTTTTGAATGTTAGTAGGCATTTTGTTATGGAAAATGTTGTGCATAATCAGTACTGTTTTAAGCTTAACTATATCAACACATTTTAATAGATTGAGTTTTTTAAATATGGGAGTTGTGTGTTCATATTTACCAACACCACAGACGATTCGTAATACTTTTTTTTGAGATCTTATTTTTTTTTTTAGATTTGTTGAGTATATGTTTCCCCATATTTCGGAGCATTAATAAAGTAACATCACATACTATCACTCATAAAGGAATTCATAGTTTATAAGAAGTTGTCTTGCCTGAAAATATAACCCCATAAAAGCAAACCCTTGAGTCTTATCTTAACAACGGGTTTGAAAAGTAGGTTTAAGTAATAGATTAAGCTTCTCCAAACATACCGGAGAAGTCACACAATGAATTATATCTAAATTACACTAAATGTTTTTTGCTGCCTGGATAAAAACCCAAAGGAAGTAGCTAACAAAACCAATTAGTGGAAACAAAAAAGGTAATTTCTAGATACGGAGTGTGGTCTGTAGTAATTGCCGTGAGGGCGTCTGTTGTTTCCTGTGTTTTCCTCCAATGTTAATTACAAAAATGCTCCGAAAACTGTTTTTTCTCATAATGCTAATTCTGTATTGTTGCACATGAGTTTAAAAAAGCTGAGACTTACGGAAGATCTTCACTTGCACCGTGGCCTGCGCCTCCTTGTCTCCGTTCTTGGCGACACACTTGTAGATGCCGGCGCTGTCCACGTTGGCGTGGTAGATGGTGAGCGTGGACATGGTTTCATCTCCGCGGCTCACGATAATGTCCGGCCTGTTGGGAAGGATCTTCTCTCCACTGGGGGAGTACCAGTCGATGTCTTTAGCATCTCCCGTCACTGAAACACACAGAATTAAATGATAGTGAGGCAAGGAAGAAAGGAAACAACGTCCAGAGCTGCAATATATATGATAACATTTAAGTTCATTGAAGCTTTGCACAATCCTGCGAGCCTTATAGAAAAAACAGCCTAACTTTGAACGCCTTTTGAGTCACTTCTAGACGAGCTAGCGGGACACTTTTATTATTTCTATGTCTTTAGCATCTCCCATCACTGAAACACACATAATTCAGTTTTAGAGAGGCAAGGAAGAAGGGAAAATAAGTCAAATATGATAATTAGAGATGTCCCGATCCGATCACGTGATCGGGGATCGGAGCCGATCACGTGATTTTCAAAAGAACGGAATCGGGAGAAAAAAATCGGGGATCGGGATTTTTTTTAAAAAAAAATTTTTTATAAATACTTTTTTATTTTTTATTAATTGTTACAAAACAAAAATGCCCATGTTCAAGTCTTAAAGTCATCCTGAGGCCTTAGTTTTGGTTTCAAATGACACAACATCATGTATGTGTTGCTTCTTTGGGGCTTGTTTTCATAGACCTGGTTGCTTATTTCTCTCAAATCTGGCAACAGAGTGGGCAGGGCGCAGTGTCTAATTGTAGCAGTAAGCTAACGAGAGACTACGTTCAGCTGGTGACTCGGGACAGCAAAAATGTCAGGAATTTGGAAGTATTATAAAATTGAAAGCGAAGGCAGTGTAACAGCCAATGTTTGCAAGGCGGAGGTTCCGCGTGGTGGAAAGAACAGAGCTACGTTCAACACGACCAATCTAATACGCCACCTGAGAAACAAACACCAACAACAACACGNCTCTTAATGCATTGCATAAAGATCGGATCGGGAAAAATCCGTATCGGCAAATTGTCAAAATCAAATGATCGGAATCGGATCGGGAGCAAAAAAAGGTAATCGGTACATCCCTACTGATAATCGTAAATCGATTGAGAAAATGCAGAAAAAACAGTCACATTTTGAACGTTTCTTGAGTCACTTCTAGACGAGCTAGCGGGACACTTTTATTATTTCTATGTCATTGGGGGAGTACCAGTCGATGTCTTTAGCATCTCCCTTCACTGAAACACACAGGATTGAATAAGAATGAGGCATGAAGAAAGGAAAGGACGCCCAATATGATAATAGGTAAAGTCGATTGAGAAAATAAAGAAAAAACAGTCACATTTTGAACGTTTCTTGAGTCACTTCTAGACGTATTTTCCTGCCTCCTCCTTACCCAACTTAAGCTACACATTTGATTGGTGTTCAACCATTTGAGACAGCCAGAACAACAGCCTTTGCAAAAAATCTTCATTGTAATTTAGGAGGGAGAATAAAAAACCTAAAAACGAATAGATTTCCATCTCCAATATCAAGCTTAGTGTTGCATTACTGGTTATACAATATATCCAATCTGATCTGATTGACTTCTGTGTTTCAAAGCAATTTCTTCTTGACATAAAACATCCTCTTCTTTGGAGAATCTTTCGTGCACTTCTAGACATGCTAATTTGACATGGTTGGTATCAATTTGTTGTTGGACTTTCTATTTTCAGATGATATCAGAGTCTTCACTACAGCTTAAGAAAAGTCCATCGAGGCTATGAATAATACAGAGTCTGACAGAAAGATTGTCAAACTTTGAAGGTCTTTTGAGGAACTTTTTGACAGGAATGGATTCATGGATTTTGTAATTTGCATTTTATTTCTGGCAACCTTACCCAACAGTAATCAGCCTCAACTTCGGAGAGTCTCTAATTGCACTTCTAGAAAAGCCAATAAGAAATGTGTTGGTATCTATTTGTTGTGTTATTTTCTAGGTTTATATGATATGGGGTTCTCTGGATGCTCGCGGGACCATTTTGACAGCAATTCATTATTTTTGATTTATCCTTTTGCCTCATTTCTGGACCTCTCAATTTAGCCTCATTTGAATGCACTTCTTGACAAGTTATTGAGACATGGTTGGTATCAATTTGTTGTTAGACTTTTTAGTTTTCTTAATATATTAAGACCTTTACCGTAGTGAGAAGAGAAACATATGTCCAGGCTGTGTGCAATCCCGTAAAAAAACAGCCAACATATGTTTGAAATTGAAAAACATAGCATTTTGTTTGATGTTTTAATTCGTTTTGCTTTCTCCTGATTTGCTTGATAATTGGATTGGATTTAAACCTCCTCTCAAATATATGCAGTATACATTTAATTGATATTCATGTAGTTCAGAATGTTTTATCTCGGCTGCATTTGAACTTTAGAAATGAAATGTTATGCTGTAGGCCTACGCAGTTAAATCCCAGATGTATTACACCATTGATAGCAAACTACTTTAACACGTTTAAGCAATAATCTGAGCTTGCATGCTTTTCAGCGAGTACAAACTGACTCGAAATGAAAGACGAAACAAAAATAGCCATCATTACTTCTACAAGTCAGAGAAAAGCTGATATCTACGCCCCTTACATCGAGAACGTTTGAGTTGCAATGGCTGTGAAGCATTACATCAAATCCCAAATCCCTGCAGTACACATATTTTCCGGATCAGACTAAATTTGCTTACTTCAACATAAAAAGGTTAGTATGTGAATTATTTCTATTAGAGGATTATTCATCGTTGGCATCTTTCGCTGGAAGAAAAACCCCATAATTTCCACTCATTTCTTTTAAAGTCGAGTTCCATCTGAGACATTTCTCTGACGCATAATACCATCTCATCTCGTCAGGAACACAAAGAGCCTTAAATGCTTTTAGACATCGTCTCAAACGGGATGATTGGCGTTCGAGCTGAAGCCATGTTCTTTCATCCAACCAAATAATAGAAATCACTCAGAGAGATAAATCAGCTTCACATTGTACCTGCACGGAGACAATGAGCTTTCATCGTGAACGTTCTCTGGGTAGCAACAGGTCTGGAGTTACTTTTTTTTTAAATATACAGAGACTTTAAAGCAGGGGTGTCAAACTCAATTTCATCTCGGGCCACATTCGCATTATGGTTGCACTCAAAGGGCCGGTTGTAACTTTAAGACTATATAAAAATACATATATAAATATTGAATATATATAAAATAATGTATTATATTACATCATTGCCTCTGCATTGGATTATTATCGGATAGGGTAATAACTTCATAATTAACTAAGTCTGAAAGCAGAAGTCTAGGGCAAATAATTGCAAGTATTTTCAGTGACAATGCCACAAAATGATTTAAAAAGAAAAGCAAATTCTGGAGAAAAAATCAA